CAAAAGCCTTTGTGAGCAAAGCAGGCAAACTATAATGATATAAGGGCTGAGGGACTTCAGTTATGTGGAAGGATGAGAGAAACTCAAATTATTTTTCATGGAGTGTGGCAGGTCAAGAGGAGATAAAGTTTGAAATTATGCAGGGTTTTGAGAGAGTAATTAAGGATAAGTTATTTTTATTGGTGATTTGCATCAGTACCAAAAGATGCCAATTCAAAATAAGTATGTTAAAGAAGCAGATAATTAATTTATCAGATATGTTACTCTTAAATGACATGTGTGGCACTGAACTAGGCTAGGGAGTCGCACGTTTAAAGTTCAACAATGACACTTTTCTCATTTGGAATTGAAAAATGCTGTTACTCCTGAAAAATTTGCAGAAAACTCCAAATTACGTCGTAATTGGCTGATATCCAATAGGATTGTTTCACATTGATTTTAATGATCTTACCACTTTAAAAATACTGTCAGTTACACCTCAGGAAACCTTGGAGCTTTGCCCAAAAGGAGTGATTTTGTTCGAACTTGTGTCCACATTTTCCTGTACTACCAAATATCATATTATTGCTACAGTGGCAGTGTTTGGAAATCAGGGTCGCCAGTTATACAATTCTTCCCTTACTGATTAAACAAGCAAATGGTAGGACTATAGAGATCAGTGCATCATTTGTACAAGTTGACAATCAAATAGAGAAATAGACAGAAAAGACAGAGAGATGAGTGTTGATATGTGTACCTTGCGTTTAAGAGAGTTCAACTTTAAAGACTCCTTTTCCTTATATTTGCAATGTTGCAATTCTGGCAGTTAGTCTCCTTAGCGTTTGCAAGCCATACACACCACAGAAATCAGTTAAATTGTTGTAATGTCTGCTTCATAACTTATAATGTACTTTACTGCTTTAAATAAACTAGTTTATGGACTTAATTAATCCATGACGAATGACTCATCATTCAACCATTCCGGTAACGTGGTTATAAAAGAAAAAGGAAAATTAGTGTGATGATGCTGCCATTTTAGAAAGGTTGTTTTATCCTGGGTTTTGTTTTTATGGGAAGTTGTAAAGGCAGAGGTGTTGAACTGGTTACTTGGGTACAGCCTAAGTAAACAATTTAGGAGGCCTTTAGATTTTTTATAAAAAAAACGTTGGAACAATGGTAGCAGCTTGAATGGGAGTGGCCAGCTCTCACAGACCAGGAACAAAAACAAAGTTGCTGGAAAAGCTCAGTCTGGCAGCATAGTGTTAATGTTTTGGGTCCAGTGACCTTTCCTCAGAACTGTTGGTTCTGCTGAGCTTTTCCAGCAACTTTGTTTTTGTTCCCGATTTACAGCATCCACAGTTCTTTTGGTTTTTATTCTCACAGACCAGGCTTTCTAGTTTTGTTTTAACTTTAGCAGTCAGCTGTTTGGGATCCCAGAAGAGTTGGAAGCTTCAGTAAACGATTCCTAGCTGCTACTTTCTCTGAAATCTTTCCTGATTTTGTTTCCTGGATTGGAGAACTGCATGTAAAAATCTGTGTCTGAATTTACCTTTTTGCCAAGGGGAGTGTTCAGGAGATGTTATTATATTGTAACATTTCATTAGTAGTAGATACTGTATTTATTATTCAGTTAAGTTTTCCAATGGTTAAAATTATCTGAATTCCTCTTTCTTTTGTTTGTATTTTAACTACAGTGTTTAAATAAATTGTGTTTTGCTTAACATCGAGTAGTTTAACCAGATACAACACATCCGGAACATGGCACTTCACATCTATCTTTAAAATACGAAAAAGTTAGGGTCTGGGCTACCCTTTTAAAATATTTTGACTGTGTCTGGTCTGGTTCATAATAGTAGTTACTACAATATTTTTTAATTTTAAAAACTGTGAACACCATGAATTGAAAAATGCAACAACAACTTGAAAATTCAAAGTGTGCAACTCAGCCAAGTCGATCCACAATGAGAAAATACCTCCTTGGATAAGATTTTTGACACAAGACATTGGTTATTGACTGGAAATGCAGATAAATATGACAGAAAAAAAATATAAATTTAGTATATCCTGTTGGGAGCTATTAATGTTTGAAAAATAAATCCAAATATCCAACGATTAATCATCAGAACTATTCCCTAGGTTTTCACAATTTTTTCCACAAAACAAATTCAATCGAATGTGTGAAGAGAACTTAAACAAACCAATCACTATTAATTCAAACTAAAGTTGATAAAGATTGATGTGATAAATTAAATTCTACTTTTTCACTTCTTTCTGCTACAGATAAGATATGAGAGAACTGCTGAAATCTCTGTCCCATTCCCCACTGTTCCTAATAAGTTAAATGTTAAGAGAAAGGTGTGTATATATTCCTTAATCCCTGAGTGTGTGGGCAACTTGAATAACCAGCATTAGAATTTTGTAGGTTTAAACAAAGAAAAATATTTGTTTATTTAAGAACTCAGCCCAAAATCAAATGCAACAGCACCCATTCTCTCAATCACACACACATACGACCACACTCAAGAAAAATGCAATTGAAGAGAATAGAGCACTTTTCCAAGTTATAAAAATAAGAATAATTTATAATTCACGTGGTTGTCTTGTTTTGAATAACATACATTGCAGGTCTTCTTCTTATCTGAAGTGCAGTTTAGATGAGTTCCACAGTGAAAGTCATATGCCAACGTTGTTTACTGGATTATTTCCAATTGATGCACTTTCCATAGGTCATGAAATTAGCGTCTTGTGCTCTCATCACCAGGGGCCTATCAACTGCTTTGGTACATCTGAAATAAGAAAATAAGACATAGGAGTAGATGTAAAACATTCAGTCCATCGAGTCTACTCTACATTTAGTGAGCTTGTAAATGACCTGAATTGTTACAGGCTTAATGATCTTCCTCAGGCACAGATGTAATTGCTGCTCTGCTTTGCTGTAAGAACAAACCTTACTAAAGTTGCTTCTGGAAGGTAACTGCTGTCACATGGTCAATACGAGTCATTTTATTCCCTATGAAATATTATTCCTGAATGTACGAAATCCACGCTATGTTGTTATTTCAGTCATTAAGTCATTGATTTCTACACATTTGTCTGCCTTTAGGATATAGCAAGATATTGAGTCAATCTTGGATTCGATCCTTGAAAAAACAGACCAGGTCACCTGACCTCTAGGGTCACCTTGTCAGGACATATTGTTCATTTTAAAAGTAAAGGCCAATTCAAAGACTCTGTAGTGAATAAAGCTTGCATTTTAAAAGTTATGAAGACGATAGCCTTTTAATGTGTATGATCTTCCTAATAGTTCCTTCATCTTTAGGAATCTCGAAGATTCATTCACCCTCCTTTGGAACAAACCAAAGGCATAGAAGTTTATTCTGATTTCTTTTCAGTGTTCCAGCTATTCTGCAAAGTGCAAAATTTCATGGGAGTCCTTCCATTAACTTTTGATTAAGTAACGCTCCAACTTTTTTTTTTACCAACCCTGCAACTCTGGATTCTGCAGCTCAAGCTTCTGTAATTCCTACACATTGGTTTAAACATCAGAAACCACCCTTGGTTTCCAAGGGCATGCTGCTATGGTTTCAAACTGCAACCAAGGCGATTACTTCCAGAACACTAACTGCAATAAGATGAACTGCTTATCAGTTGGAAAATTAATGTAGTTTTCTTCCTTTAACTTACAGCAAAATAAATCATGTTCTCCCTTAGCAAGTTCGTCTCATACTGAATGGCAATTCCCAATCAGCGACTGTGTCATGGGGAATAAATTTTAACATTTATGTTGAAGGTCTGGTATTGTTAGTAGACTTTTAAAATGATAAAAGTTATGTAAGACTCAAAGCTGACACATTCTTTTCGCTGTTTTTCCAAATATTAACCAGTCTTGTCTGCTGGCTGTGTACTAACTGATTTCGCAGAAAAACTTAAAGCAGTAAATCTCAAAAAAAGCTCCACCTTCCAAACTTTCCTCAATTCTAGGAAAATACATCATTGACACATCATTTTCTAGAACAACTGCAGATATCATGTATCCAGTTCCTGAGCAAAGTAAGACCACCTACCATGTTTATGACTGTCACCCTCTGACTTTATCTAAGAAACACAAATTACCTTTTGAGCTGTACTTGACTTAAATCTGTGCAGTTTTCCAATCTTAAGGTGTTACCAATTAACGCCTCACCCACCAAACTTGCTTTTCAATTTCTAAAAACAAAAGACTACACTTTTAAAATGTATGAAATATCATGTTAGACAAATATAATAATGCAGGAGATTGGTTAGCTGGATGCCTGGTTTGCAACGCAGAATAATATCAATAATATAGGCTCAATTCCCACATTGGCTGAGTTCCCCATGAAAGACTCTCCTCAAACTTTCTCCATATCTGAGGTGTAGTGACGCTCAGGTTAAACCACCACCAGTCATTTCTCTCTGATGAGGGAACAGCCTATAATCTGGTAGGACTATGCTGATTTTAGATAACAATATGATTATGGTAGTACCTTCTGGATAATTTGTCTTCTATAGATCTTGCATGAGATTTATGAGTATAATGATTTTCCTTGAACATTCAATCCTTTGTACCTGCCTGGTGGTCTTAATGATTGATAAAGTACTTTAAATTTCATGAATAGTCTTTGCAGTTGTCTCAAATAGGGGATCAGTAAGAATGAACAATGCACAATACTGAGTTTTTATGGAGCCTCAGAACTAGCTGTAAAAATAAAGATATGTCTTCACCCCCCTAGTTTGAGCAACTATCTAGCTTAATCTTCAGACAGTTTAAGTATGTAATCTAAATAAACAAAAATGTCAGAAACCCACACAAAAAAAAGATGGCCAGTAGTAATGGTATGACTTAATTTAACAGAGCTTACTTCTTCACACTTGGTTCAAATGTAAGTTTATGCATAACTTAAACCATCATTAGCTGTGTTTCTCACAAAGAAGAACACAGAGTAAAACATGTTTTTGAATCTGAATGCATAAAATATAACATTAAATACACTTAAGGCAGTTGCAATTTTTATTATGATAGAAAAAGCTTTGTTTAGTGAAGTGCTATCTTTAATATGCATATATTTTTCTGCTTTTTGAATCTAATTATCATTTTAGCAGCACCATTATGAAATTTGCATACAAGCAATTTAGCAGCAAAGGTCTTCGAATGTTTCTGACAGAATAGCATTCCTGGTGATCCCCAGGATTGGTTTGAGGAGCATTTTGAATCCGTTCAGCATATGTTCTCTGCAGTTTTCTCTGCTCTAATTCTTCCTCGCTTCGCGACAGCTCCAGATGGTGTGCTGCCTCCAAGGCTCTCATCTGCCACTTCGACCAGTCTTCAGGTTGCCTGGTCTGCACCAGCTTGTAACAATGCTCCAGGCTTGCCCAGTTACCAGCTTCAGACAAGGCTGCTACGTTCTGCTGGTGATATTTCAGAGAACGTAGTGTGAAGACCTGTTTTAACTCATAGTTTCAGTAAAATTATTGAAATTATATTTTTACTGCTTTACATTAAAATGAGGTCAGTTTCATTTCCTACAAATGAAAATAAACACACGAGTTTGCAACAGGAGCAGGCCATTTGGCCGCTCGAACCTGCTCCACCAATCAGTAAAGCCATGGCTGATCTGATAACTCGACATTCCCACCTAACTCCAGTAACATTTCATCCCCTTGCTTTACAAAAATCTGTGACAGAGGAATCTTCCTCATCTATGAGGGAGACCTTTTTTTTTTTAAATATTGACCTCCTAATTCCTCTTGTCCTCATGGACCTAGTCAAGACTTCTTAGGACGTTATATGTTCCAATTAAGTCATCGAGTTATAGAGTCATACAGCATGGAAACAGACACCTCCGTCCAATTTGCAGTTCTTGCTATCTCTTAGTTTGGGATTATGTTTGGCGCGGACTGGTTGAACGGAAGGGTCTGTTTCCATGCTGTATGACTCTTTAACTGTGACTTAATTGGAACATATGACGTCCTAAAAAGTCTTGACTAGACCTAATCTAAACTAATCCCACCTGCCTGTTCCTGGCCCATATCCCTCCAAACCTTTCCTATTCATGTAATTATCCAAATGTCTTTTAAATGTTGTAATTTTACCCACACCCACTTCCTTAGGAAATTCATTCCACATACGAACCACACTCTGTGTTAAAAAATTGCCCGTCATATCTTTTTTAAATCTCTGTCTTCACATTTTAAAAAGTAGCCCCTAGTCTTGGAATCCCTCACCCTAGGAAAAAGACACTACCATTAACTCTATCAATAGCTCTCATTATTTTATAAACTTCTATAACGTTGCCTCGCAACCTCCTACGCTCCAGTGATGTTTTGTTCTTCTAAACACTAATCGATACCTGCCCAACCTGTGCAACTTGTCTTCATAATATAACACACATAATAATAAGTTATTAGTCTAGTCAACCTTTGCTGAACTGTTTCCAATGCATTTACAAATCTCCTTAAATAAGAAGACTTCTATACAGTACTCCAGATGTGGTCTCACTAGTGTCCTTTATAAATGAAGGATAACGTCACTAATTTTATATTCGGTACCTGTTGAAATAAACAAGAACATTCTATCAGCTTTCCTAATTACTTGCTGTACCTGCATAATATTATTTTGCAATCCATGCATCAGCAACCCAGATCCATCTGTATGTTAGAGCTTTACAATCTCTCATCATTTAGACAAAATGCTTTTTTAATCTTCTTGCCAAAATAGACAATTTCACATTTTTCTACATGATATATTACTTACTGAATATTTTTCTACTCATTTAACACATTTATAATCTGCTTGTAGCCTCCTTTTATCCTCTTGACAACTTATTTTCCTACTTATCTTTGTGTCATCAGCAAGTTTAACAAGGATTCCTTCAATGCCTTCACATGAACTATAAAAGGTTGAGGTCCCAGTACTGATCTGTGTGGCATATCACTTTGTTATATCTTGCCAGCCAGAAAAATGATCCAGTTATGTCTACTATCTGTTTCCTGTTAAATATAAGAGGTCACCTAATTATGACTGAGATGAGGAGAAATTTTCCTTCCCGATGTTTGTGAGTCTTTGTGATTCTTTTCCACAACAGGTGGTGGTGTAAGCGGACTCTTTGAATATTTTTAAGGCAGGCGCAAGTAGATTATTGATAAGCAAGGAGGAGAAAGATGATTGAGGCTTAGCAGAAATGTAGAATAATCAGGTCAGCTATGATGTTATTGAATGATGGACTAGGCTTGAGGAGTCTACTGTCCTACTCCTGCTCCTAATTCACATGTTTTCATATTTGTAAGTTCTGCGGACTATTACTCACCAACCAGTTAGATAAGATAGCTGAGTTGGCTGGGTGCCAAATTAGGGACCTGAAGATGCTGGTCTGGTTCAAATGGCTGGATGGCTCGTGAATGATGCCAGCAGCATGGATTCAATTTCCACACTACCTGAGGTTACAATGAAGGGCACATCCTCTCAAGCTCTCCCTTCACTGTAGGTATGGTGGCCCTCAGGTCAAACCATTACCGATCATCTCTCTCTCATGGGAAAGCAGCCCAATGGTCTGGTAGAACTATGGCAACTTTTTGCCTTTTAGTTATCAGCATTAATAGTGTTTATTCCAATCTTTGCTTATTGTAATTGAAAACTAATATGTGAATAGACATTCCGGATAAAGTGTAAAAAAAATTGCAGTCTTTGCCAATGACATTAGTGTTATTGCTGAGAGGAGAGTAAGATCAGATCTAATGGATTAGGAGTATTTCTTAGCTGAACTGACTGACCAGCAGGTAATAGATATCCCTGAAGGGAAAACTGGATGGTAAGGAATAGTTAACAATAAGAGGGGAGAAATGGAAAAATGGATCAATGAAAATGGAAGATAGATGGCACTGAAAGCAGGGAAGGAACGGTGATGAAATGGGTGACATTTAGAGTTATACCTCCACATCCCAGATTGGTGTAGCTCGAACAATACTTTAGAAATGTGACACCATTCCAGACAGATAAGTCATTTTATTGGTACTATATCCACTGGTTTGAATGTCCACTGCCTCTGTTGTTGGTGTCTTATGGTTTCAGAGGACATTGTTTACAGAATACACTACAGAAAATTGTCAAGGCTTCTTTAGATGGCTAATTCCAAATCTGCAACTTCTATCATCTAGAAGATCAAAGGTGCATGAAATGCTCCCCTCCAGCTCACTCCCCAACATGGCTTAACTAGGAAATGGTGATATCTTCAATGTCATTAGACTAAAATCCTACAACTGCCTACCAACATGCCTTTGGTTGGTTGGTAAGTAACTTCACCACATGGAGTACATCAGTTCAAGAAGGCAACTCACTTCAACCTTCTTAAAGTAAACTAACTATGGGCAATATATTTAGACTGTTTTAGTGACACACATATTCAAAGAATGATTTAAAAATAAAGATAAATGTAAGGAGGAAATGGTTGTCAATGAAAGGAAAAGTACCAGTAAGTACTGGAAGAGTTGGAGGTTGAAGCACATAACTTTGAAATTTGGTAATGGTCTCTCCAAACTGATTGGGCGAAAGTGCAGTTTCTTGTGAACTAAGGTGGAGTGGTTGGATATAATATAGTGACTGTCATGCTAACTCACATCTAACAATGGTAAAATTTCTCATGTAGATCAAAAATTATAAGAATGAGAAATATAGCAGTATTGAAAATTACATAAGATGTATCACTTTTAATTTCGTGAATGAAAATCTGATAAAATAGTGACTTAGTTTTGATAGACCTGTTCTGATTGTTTAATTTTAAATATGTGTATTACATCGGATTATGAACATCAGTAACAAGCTAATTATATAGATTGCCTCAGAGTACTGCTTTCTGCTCTTTATTGGTGCATACTGAATAGTACAATTTTAAGTAGGAAATTGTTCAAAGAATTTAGACATGTAATGAGAAATCTGTTTCAGAAGGTATAATATTATTTGATTTCATTACTATTAGAAATAAATATCAGATTTTCAAAAATACTTATTTCATATATACTTTGAAAAATAAGTAAATCATTGTTGCAAATATGCACATTTTCTGGAGTATAAGGAATGGATAAATGATAGAATAACATTTCCATTCATTACAACTTGTTGCCCAGTCCAACTGCAGCCTTTAGCTATTTAGCAACAGGTCTTCATCCAAATGCAGCCTATGAGTTCAGACTGGTTACTTCCAATGGACATGGTTGTACCATCAGTGTCTGGAGACAGATGGCTACCTCAGAAGATAGTAAGTGTGCTGCACATTGTAGGGATATAAGCTAAACATTGAATAACTTAGTACCTGAAGATTATAATACGTCACTAACAGTGAGATAGATATGCTTGTGAAATATGCTGGAAAATATTTCAATATGTTAAAATGTGATTTTCTTTTAGATCATTGAAGGTGCTTTTAAATACATTTTTAAGATCAAAGTGTCTGCATAATATTGAAAATAGATGGAACCATGAACAACAATTGAGCAGATCTGATATAATTAAGCTTTTTACACTTATTTTAGCGACAGTTACTTTTCATTTCTAACCCAATTATAACAATGACTTATTTAATATAATAATTTTTCTTGAAGCTCAAACCTCATCCATATATTTCTTCAAACAGTAGAAAGCAATATTCTAATCCATTGGCAACTTTCTATGTATTAGTATTTGTTGCTTTAGTGCTTCCATTTGGGTCATCCAAGAAGGAATTTGCTGCCTGTATCCTGCACCACTCTCGCCACTTCCCCAGTCCCACTCTCCCCACAGTCACCTCCCCCCAGCACTTAAATACTTTTCTTTTCCACAAAACCCTTGTGAGGATGCAAAACCGTCCAGTGAGACTAGGGTTTGTTCTTGAGTTTCCCATAGTCTAATTAATCACTTTTAGTGTGGTCCCTGCAGGTCTGCCCAATATCACAGCATGTCTTAAAAAACATATTAAAATAACAACTTGTCTTTCAGGACTTCACTGTTATTAATTTTTAAGAGCAGAGTTGAAACACAATAATAAAAAAAGTGTAGTTCACATTAACTGCTGTTTCCCCTGATTTATTTAATGACAAATCATATTTCTGTACTAAAAATCAATTACCTCTTTCATGTATTTATTCTTCAGAGAATTTTAGAAACACTATCCATACAGAGCACATAAGATTGGAACTCACTGCATTCAGGGGGTGACATCAGTGAAATGTTACATAATGCCTGTTGCTGAACATGGAGCTTGCATTTATGTAAGAAACAAAATCAATCAGATCAGAACTCAATAACTTTCTCCAATAAATCATTGGAATTTTGAGACCAGGAACTTTCCAATCTTGATCCTTGGTTTTGGCTGAGTTTTCTAATCTGAATTGGGTCATAATAGGGGTAATACAATTGGTTTACGTGCCCATGGACTAGA